GTGATGAAGAAAGGGGTACCTAAGAAGTACAACTCACTGTGCATACCTGAGGCCTTGGAGACTGCCAAGCAAAGGCTCACAGCCCTGGCCACCCGGCTGAAGAGGTACACCAGAGAAGTTGAAGCCAGGAGAATAAACTGAATGTTCTCCACTGAGTCATCCAAGGTGTACTCTCAGTAGCAGGGTAATAACATGAGCGCAGACCCACCAAGGCTGGAGACTGAACAGTTCTGGAAGAGCATATGGGAGTAGGAGGCATCACATAAAAACAATGCCCAGTGGTTGGTGGACCTAAGAGCAGACCACATCAACCTCCCTGCACAAGACTCAGTAATCATCACAATGGCAGACATTCAAGTGAGGTCTCAAGTATGAAGAGCTGGACAGCACCAGGCACTGACATGATCCACACCTACTGGTTAAAGAAGCTAACTTCACTCCATAAGCGCCTAGCGGGACAAATGAACCAGCTACAAATAGATGGAAACCCACCCTGATTGGTTAACTGAGGGCCAGACAGTCCTGATCCTGAAGGTCCCTCAGAAGGGAGCAGTACCATCCAACTTCTACCCAATAACCTGCCTCTGCACAACATGGAAGCTCCTGTCAGGCATCATAGCAGCTAAGATGAGCAGGCACATGGCTCAATACATGAGCAGGGCCCAGAAAGGAATTTGTAGTAACACCAGAAGAGCAAAGCACCAGCTACTGGTTGATAAAGTAGTCACTTGAGACTGCAAGACCAGGCATACCAACCTGTGCACTGCCTGGATTGACTACAAGAAAGCCTATGACTCAATGCCTCACACATGGATCCTGGAATGCTTGGACTCTAAGAGCCTTCATCAAGAACTCAATGGGAATGTGGAAAACAACCCTAGAGGACAACTTCAAGCCAATTGCACAAGTCAACATCAAGTGCGGTATCTACCAAGGAGATGCTCTGTCCCCGCTGCTGGGGTCCTGTCTACCACACCAGACAGGACCCCAGGTGCAGGCAGTGCAAAGATGCCCCTGAGACAATCAAGCACATAACAGCGGGGTGCAAGATGCTAGCAGGAAGGGCATACATGGAACACCATAACCAAGTGGCTGGCATAGTGTACAGAAACATCTGTGCCTAGTACAGGCTGGAAGTCCCAAAGTCAAAATGGGATGCACCTCCAAAGGTGGCTGAGAATGACCAAGCTAAGATCCTGTGGGACTTCCAGATACAAACTGACAATGGCCAACCAACCGGACATAGTATTACATGGTAAATGGACTGTATTTATATAGTGCATTTTTCCACAGTGTGTTGCACTTTACAGGAGATGATACAGCATTCATCCATTCACACACCGATGACGACAGGCTGCCACACAACGGCGCTAGGCAAGCCACAGGGAGCCATTCCGATGTGCTCTGTGCTGTAAGCCTCTGGATCATCTTGTACAAGCTGCCCAGGTTTCTCCTAGTAAGAACTGCAAAAGCTTCTTAGCACGCCAAAGTCCACCTGGATGTTCTGTCGACATGAGACTGGAAGGACACTGGCCAAAGCTGCACAACATCCGTTCACCTCACAGACACAGCAGTATCGTATGATCTGACTGAATATTATCATCAGAGCAGAGTTTTGATTAGGATTGGGGCTGAATCTGCTAGGTCCTCGTGGTAATAGGAACATTGGG